TTTTATCTGTTTTTAAACAAAACCCCAAAGAAATTGGCGTTTGTCCAATAAACAGCAGAAAAACACTGGAAATAGTTACTACGTATCTAAGGGCTTGTATACCCAGAGCAGTAATGTGGACTAGGGAGGGGTGTGATTTTTACAGCACACAAAGTGTTACACATTAATTGTCAGTGTAGACCCTGCTGGTGTGCACTAAAGGTTCCCTAGTGCATGTTAACGTAATGCTGTTTGAAACTGTAATGTTCCCTAATACTCTTTAACACAGCACTAAGAAATTACTTGTTACAGCGTATACTCTGTAATGAGTAAAGGACATCATATACATTAGTAATTACAGTAAATACAAAGAGTGCTTTGAAAACCCCTAGTTTTCGGACAGCTACATAAAGTTCAAAAATTGCTAAAAATAACCCTCCCAAAATGAAATTTATAGACCTCAAAAACATAAGCTGTATTTACATGTTGCTCATCAAATTCTGAGAATAAAGCCATAAACACATAGCAATGTATATGCAATAACCAAGTCCAGTAGCACAGCTTCATAATAGAACTTCATCAGGCATCTTCACTTAAACATTTGAAGTAGAATGTACTGTGTTTGCTGTCTGGGAATATGTCTGGTGACTTTGATAAGGTTCCCACATAGACAGTGTGTGGCTTGTGGCTGCCTGGATTCCTCTCCTAGCTTTTACTGCGGTTATAAGGAGAAGTTCTGGATTTTTAATTGTCATTCGATCATGCTTCAATTATTTTCCTAAATTATTGGAAACAAAATTCATAACCTGGCCCTTTTAAGTGACTGTAAGAACAAGATGTGAAGAACAAACCACATATTGACATAAAAGGAGAATTCTTGGGTTCACATTTTTAAAAAAAACCCTTCAAAGTTGCAATAAGCTGTAACTCCTCCTTGCTGTGATACAGATGTAACTTGCATAGTTTGGGGATGAATCGGGCAGATAATTGACACTGGCTCCCATTAAATATTCAACAGAGACAATTCTACATATTCATGTTTGCATTTCCTTTTTAAAGCATGCCTTATGGGAACAGTTATATTCCAATGCATATTAAGACAAATCAAAAGTACAAACGTTAAAATAATATCTATTTCTCTGTTATAATTTTTATCTAATCTCTCTCTCTCTAATATCAGTAGTGACACCAGGAGGAAAACAATTTGAAACAATAGGTTTTTTTTGACATAGATTATAGCCCAGGACAATGCAGGCCTGGTCGATTTATCAGGTGTGCTGTATTAGATGGAGGGGGTACATGAGGCTGTTAACTGTGGAGCTCCAAACTACCCTTAAAACAATCAGTAAACATTTAATGATAAGTGCTTGTTTAAGTTCCTTATTTCATGGTATCCATTTTGAATCCCATGAATCCCTACTTTGTGGGGGAAGGAATGGAGGACGCTAGAGGAATGCTGTGGGTTCTGCCATGAATGGAAGCACACCAAACCCTCGTCTCATATTAGTAATATAATAGGCC